GAAGACCCCAGGAAGGATGGAGGTGCCCAACGCCAAGGTGGGGCTGGGGCACTGCAGCCTGTGGGGCCAGGAAGGCAGCGATGGGGGGGAGGCTGGGATGTGGGGTTGGGGGTCTGGGGGTGCGGGAGGGCCTGGCTGGTTCCTTGGGAAGCCCCAAGCGCGCAGCTCCTCCCCAGGGCTCCCCGACCACGGCCAGCAGCTGATCGGGGGGCTCAGCCCCACGTGGGCTCCTCAGGAGCGAGCTGGGTGTGTGGTGCCTGCGGCATTGAGCGCGGGTGCTCTTGCTGCTCATCCCATGGCACTCAGCGGTAAGGGGAGGGTGTTTGCAGTGGCTGCCTTGTGCCGGAGTAGGGCAGGCGTGCCAGTGAGTGCACGCGCGTCTGGCTGCTGGTCGGGGCGTGGGTGGGGGCCATGGTCGCTGGGGCTGGGGAGGGCATGGGGAGCAGCACTACCAGCTCCCCTGGGAGTGCGGTGCTGGCCATACCCCAGGGCGCCGAAGGGTGATGCTCCAAGTGCACCCCGGGTGTGGGGCTGGGCCCCTGTGGCAGCAGGGACAAGCAGACAGTGCTGCAGCAACCAGGGCAGATGGGAGCTGAGACACTGGTGGGCACGGCAGGACCAGGGGGCAGCCCTGGGGCTGTGCAGCGCTCCCCTCTCCAGCACTGCCGGCTGCCCTGCACTGATGCTGCCCATTGCTCCGGCAGCTCCAGCGAGCTTCCTGCCTCTTGCTCCTGCTCCTGCTCTGCTCCCTGGCCGCTGGCCGGCAGAGTCTGCCCGAGTGCTGCCGGCAGAAGACCTGCTCCTGCCGCATCTATGACCTCCTGCACGGCATGGGCAACCACGCCGCCGGCATCCTCACGCTGGGCAAGAGGAAGAGTGTCCCGCCGGCATTCCAGAGCCGGCTCTACCGCCTGCTGCACAGCTCTGGCAACCATGCTGCTGGCATCCTCACCATGGGCAAGCGCGGGGAGCACCCTGGCACCGCCTGCCACAATGCATTGGGCTGCCCTGCAGGCACGGATGCCCAGCCGATGCCAGCCCTGCGGGGCACTGATGCCAGCCCTGCCAGCGCCAGGGAGTGCCAGGGACGCTCGGAAAAGGACCTGACCAAGAGCCAGGCCCAGGAAGCTGCAAAGAGCTTTTACTGAGAGGTGTGGGGGCAGCGGGAGCAGAGAGGGTATCCCTGGGGGGATGGACCCCAGGGACACACGCCCAGAGCTCGGTGTAAATAGCACTTTTACATACCTCCTCCTGGCCCTGGCTGAGCCTGCTCAGGGCACCGCAGGCACCGCTGGCCTTTTACAATAAATGGTAGCCTGATGTTACTTGGCTCTGCCTTCTCTCTGGGGAGGGGCCAGGGGGGCACAGCTCTGCTCTGGGGCAGCCGGCGAGGTCGGTACCTTCCTCTGTGGTGCCTGGACATGGACTCATCTGTGGTGCCTGCACTGGGGGCATGCGTGGGCCCAGCTGGGTGGATGCAGGACAAGAACTGGAGCGAACCGAGCCTTGACCAGGCTGCCTGGGAGCGGGGGGGGGGTGGTGTTTGTGAAGTCCCCGTAAAAGGCTCAGAGCATCCCCCACCACAGCACCAGGGACCCTCTGGTGACCCTCCTGTGGCCACAGGTCCCTGATATCCACCCCACCCCACCACCCTCCCACCACCTTGTCCTCGTGCAGGGTCCTGAGGAGGGCTCTGGCTGGGTCCTGTCACCCCTGGGTGCCCCTCAGGGGGTTCTGCAGGGCACGGCCTTGCCCTGCAGTCCCCCGGCTGAGCCCCAAGCAGCGGGGCTGGGGCTGGT